GTCACGGCCCGCCCGCACTCCCCGCGCGGCGCATGCGCGGCCGCCCTGCTGGAGCGGGCTGAAACGCGCGTTGTGGCGCCCTGCAGGTGCCCGCGAGCACCCGCAGAAACGCAGTAAAACGCGTCTGGTTTCCTAAACCTAGTGAGAGCTTCTTTGTGTGCAAAAACTGTGCTCGAGACCTCCCCCGTGCTTCAGCCTCCCTCTCCAGGCTGTGGAAACGAGCGCCAAGATGTCTCTTGGCATCCTTTGCTGGCCTGCAAGGCGGCTCCTGGAGCAGGAGAGGCGCTTGCCGGGCAGCACCCATCCAGACACCTTTCTAGACCCCTGTACCATAAAATGGCACTGTTCTAGTCATACCTCTGGCTTCCCTTAAAGAGAATATCTTACTGAGATACTCAAGAGAAAAACTGAGAATTTTACTCTTTGCTAGGACTTTGGGCTTTTTTTCTGGGCCTTAAAATAGAGGGAGCAGGTGTTTGTGGAGCGCTAGGACTGCTGCAGGTCTCTGCATCCACAGAGCAGGAACGGTGGTGTCTGCGCGTTGCCCTGTCTCTGTGTGCTGCTTGAGACCTGTTGAGCTGCTGCTGCTGTCATTTCAGCTTAGTTTATTTGTTTTTTAATATGAAAATCAGTGCTGAACTGAGGAGACGCTAACTGAACAAAGAGCTTGTGTTCAAACCAATAGCCTTGGTAATAAAAATGTGAGAGAGGGTAAAAAACTACACTCCATCTGAGACAGGATGAGAAAATATTTCGTACCAGAGTGCATTTCAAAGCCCTTTTTTTTTTCCAGTCATCATCAGCAAATCTATGACAACATCTCAGCCGAAAGAGCAGGATACATCAAAGTCAATTGACATAGAGGAAACTCCAGTAGATACGGAGAGTTTCCACTACGAAGACGATCCAGGCTAAATGGCATTTGGCAAATTATTACATGTTGTTTTTAATAAGACTGCCACGATTATGTCTAGTTCTCCTAGCCACAGCATCATACCCCTGAATTAGAAAAGACAGACAGCTGCGTTCACCCAGACGAGGGAGGGTAACAGGGCCGGGGAGCAGGTTTCACAGTTCAGCATTGTCTGCCTAAATCCCCTTCTGTGAGAGCCCAGCTGCCTCTGAAGCCTCCTCTGCCTCGCAGTTTGAGTCTCTGATCCCCAGCCTGTTTGCAGTGCCTGGGAGCAGGGCAGGCTGCTTGGCTGGCTGCTAATGAAGCGTGCTGTGGAGTCTACCACGTTGCAGGAGGCTTTCATAAGCTTGGCACCTGCTCCAGATGAAAGCATTTGATGGCATAGGCTGGAAATTTGTCTATCTTCAGCTCAGCTTGAAATGTCTGAGGATTATCTCTGTAAATCATGAATTCTAGCAAGTGCAATGAGCAAAGCTCAACTGGGTTCCAGGTGTCCTGCAGATTTAAAGTATATCTCTATTTTTCTTGCCATGTGTTTTCTGCCATGTGCCACCGGCCAAGGACAATGATCCTTCTGAGGAGCCAGTCACTTTTCTTCAACAGAGAACCAGAATTTAGGTGTTCTAAAACTAACTGCTTTTGCATCCTAAAGAGGGGAACAGAGGTGCTAGTGGGGTTGGAAGAGATTCCCAAGGAGTCCTCACAGCCACCTGGTAGAACTGTGACAGATATAAACCATACAGAAAAGCAGCAATTCATCAGTTTAGTAGATGTTGCTGACCTCATCTTCTTCAGTATCTTTTTCTGTAACCCAATCACTGCCTGATTCAAGCCAAAATACTCCACACTAACTGATGAAACTTTTTTTTTACTGATTGAACAAAAGGTTTACTTTGAGCCAAAACCTCAAAAAAGCTGTTTCCCTTTCACTGAGAAACAACATTTTGCCTTCAATATGCACAGGAATGGATGCATTAGAGGATGTAACACCACTTACAGAGCTGAGGATGTGTTGTTAAGCACTGTCCCCATATGGCCATGCACCCAAAATTCAGGGACTGACTTAATCAGGTGATGTAGAGATGCAGATCTCAGCCACCTAAGCAGAGGTTTGAAATAAGATCCAATGAGCCTTGGAAGAACATCCTTACTCCTGAGCTGTGGCAGGCTGGGAGGAAATCATTCCTGTTCCTCTGGTTCCAGGCTGCGTCAGGTACTTCACTATTCATTGGAGCAAGAGCACCACCACTTTGAGTTGATGTTTATTT